ACCAATCGTCAAGGATATAGAAGTAAGTTTAGTCGTGTAGATGATTTAGTATTTAAAAAAATGGCCATTTATTGTATTATTGTATATTTTTAGGAGATCATATTGGCTCTAATCCCTGAAAAGAAGAAAGAAATCAAGAAAAACTAATAAATAAGACTTATTAATTTCATATACAATTAACATTTTATTTGTTGTATTTTCTATTAATAATGTTTTGAAATATTAATTTGTTGTAAAAAGTAAAACTTGTCATACAAATTTTACTTTTATTTATTTTATTTTTTACTATTATAATATATTATCCATTAGTATAAACCTATAAACTACTACTACTTTCTTTAGTGCTGATCCAAAGGTTATCATTTATCAAAGGAAGTATGATTATGAATCGTTCGACTTTTACATCTCAGCGTGGATCGACTAAAGTCTAAATATTTTAAAACAGATAACTTTAATTGGCATTTTATTCAACTACAGGTACCATTATCTTTTATCGAGTAAGTGTATTTGACTAATATGGACCACTGTTTGCTTATCGAATAGGTACATATTATAATATAATAATTAGTAGGAACTCGATAAATATTGTTATTTGTTAGATAGGTACATCCTGATGTGATAAATTATTATATTTATTACATATTTTATATTTACCAATCTATATTATTATCATCTAATCACTGAGTAATATTAAATAACAAAAAGTGAACTTTAGATTAAATAAAAAATAATTCATTATATATAGACAATAAAAGTAACAAAAATACAAACTTAAACATTATTAGTGATAAACTTAATGACAAATGAAGGTGATACCTACATGAACATTGTTTAATTTAAATGACCTATATATGTTATATAATTTAATATTTAAAACCCAATACGTTAACGGTATGATATATCGCATAGGTCTGAACAAAATTAAATAGGTAATGACAATGAACATTTGTATAATGAATCGATTAGTTTCAATGAACAAACCTTTTTAAAGTTAATAATTTATAAATGTTAGTTAATATTGAAATTAAACAAAAAACATATTTGGTTGATTTAAGATATTTAAAACGTAAATGTTTTTTGACGTAATAAATAATAATTAATTTACACGATTCAAATTATTGATTGTTAAAGAGATATTAGTGATTTAGAAAAAAATACAACGTAGCTATAATAGGATATTCACAGATACACATTTTAGTGTGACTGCCCTAATGTCATTAAGCTGATTGGAGTTTGCGTTGTGCAGTTGTAAGTAACAGTCAAATTATTGTCATATTATTATGACGTTACTAAATTACAATTTACACAAATATTTAAAAACAATATTGGCTTTCATTGTGTATTGATTAAATTAATAAGGCAATCCAAAAAAAAATTTGACCATCGATATTATATGCTTATTGTCCTCACTGGTCGTATAAAAAGTCTAAAAAAAATGTGTAACTATAAACTGTAAAAATATTATGAGAGTAAGACAATATTGCTATATCTTATCGATTTATTATTATTTCATGATAATAACTAGGAAGTCAATATTGAAGTATGAACTATGGAACTGGATATACCTCTATATATAATGATAAGTAGTCTATTAAATTACTGTACCCATTCAGACGGTACCTAGTCTTATTGTTTAATATTTTAAACATGTTAAAATAGTTAACACTGATTTTATTAATTTACAACCTTTTTAACACTGATTATAATATATATATTATTATTTTATAATGTATTTCAAATTTCAAACTCAATGTCTATACTCTATTACAGTGGAGGATAGGCCCACCGGGAATTTGGGATTTTCCCGGTAGGCCCTATCTCGTGTTGATGTATGGGGGCCCTAGGACCATTTATCAAGTACTGAACCTTGTGTGATTAAGACTGAAAATAATTTTAATAAAGATGCAAATTGACTAATTTAATATTGTTAACCACTCTACAAGAAAAATACCATAATCATTTAGCTATAAACAATATTTATTTCTGTTCCCCGTATCGGCCATATCATTGGGAATATTGAGATTTATTTTTACATTAGATTTATAGAAAACCTTATTTAATATCGGTAAATTATAGCTGTACTATATAATGTACCAATGCGGTGGTTATACGGTTTTAAAGTTTTTAAATTTTTTTTTTCAAAATGTGTGGTTTTTAATGCTGATATTGAAACTGTTTGAAATTCTTTGCTGAAATCTTTATTTTGGAAGTTATAGTCATCCAAAGTTTGCGATTTTACGTTTATACGCATGTGCGCAACACAACTTTAATGTTGAGCGGAGGAACTCGTATTTGGTGTTTTTTCGGTTTATTTGACCTAGCGCAGCGCAGCGACAGTGACGCAACTAGGGCTGAAATGTTGGGGGGGCTATAGCCCCCCCTTACATTACATGGAAACTAACCAGTGGGAGCGATGCCCCCACACCCCCATATATGTTCACTTAAAAATATAAAAAAAATTATCCAAACAAAATCAATTATTTATTTATTCAAGTATTTAATTATACCTTATTTTTTAATATTTATATTATAATTTTCAAACATTAACAATAATATTTTTTGCTTAATACCTTTATATTATATCCCCAAATTAAAATATTACCTACTTTCCTAATTATATTTTAACGATACGTAAAAAATAATAATTTTTATTAGAAGTAGATTTCACAAGTTTTACTTAATGTAGGTAGGTACAATACTCAATACTTAAAGATTATAAATATAAATATTTCGAAATGATTGATACAATCCAATAAATAAATAATTATTAAACAAATAGTTAATGAATTTAGGTACCTAATCAGTATCTTTTAAAGAAACTATTAACATAATATTTTATTTGTGTTCACATAGTGATATAAAACAAAACAATACCTATTATTATTAATTTTTTTAATGAAAGTATTTTATATAATAAGTATAATAATATATTTATAATTAAATACTAATAATGTAATAATTACACTAATTACGTTTTAAAAATTCAAATTAGTTATCAGTAATATTGTATCTGGGGTGGTTTTTCCTATGGTCGGGGATTTTTTTCAGGGGATTTTTATTCCGCTATTCCCCTATCTAATTATTAGACTATAGTTCAGTGCATAGGTATACTGCAAAATTATGTGTAATAATCTTACCAATATAAATAATTTATATCATAGGTAATATAAAAAAAAGTTTAAATAACAATTAAAAAAATTAAACGTACACAAGTACTAAACAGTAAACAGAGACGATGAGCCGTACTCTGTTTTTTAAGTATCTATATTTTATAATATATTTATTAATTTATTTTTAATAATTAATTAGTTATTACCTAATTAGTTTTTTCATTACTAATCTAATATGTAGGTTGAACTAAATCTTTGTCAAAAATATCACAAAATTAATACTAATAAGTAAATAGTTATGTTTTAAATTTTTCGATTCGTATTTTTTGCATTACAAACAAAATCTCAACAATTGTTGTAGGGGAACTAGTAATGTTTGATTGTTTGAAAATCTCATTTGTCAACATTTTCAATTTTCCAACATGTGTTGGGTGATGTTAGCACCCCTACTTTCCTAAACTCCACCTAACAAATTGTAAGTTGTAGCTGAGAGTTTACTTGGGGAGTAATTTAATAAGTTTTTTAAATTAAAGTTCATAAAGTTATGTATACAACTTTTACAGTTTGTGTATTTGGGTTTAAACTTCATCTCATTATCCTCTATAAAGGAATATATTATTATAGACTCATAACTATGTTTTTATAAATAAGTAACCATGAAAGAGAGGAAGTTACGAACAATCAGGTCAGAAGAACAAAAAATCTATTATAAAGCCCAAAACATATTTATAATTTAATTTAAAGAAAAAAAGAATATAGCATCATAAAACGGGTCCATATTCTAGAATGTATTAAATTTTTTTGATTCAATAGTAAAATAATTAAAACTTAATAATCAGGTAGTAAATAATAGGTACAGTTTTTGTTACTAATCAAAATATTAACTAGACATTATTACATCCAGCCATTGACATACATTACAATTATTACATGTCCATAGGTACAATCGAAGGTAGATAATAATATACATAATATAATATTAGTATTTAGTTAGATTTAGTTATACAAACTGTATAAATATATAATATAATGATATTATGTATTATTTAATTTTAATTTCATTATAATAATTTATCAATGCATACAGTAGGTATGGTACCTACATAATATTTATTGAAAGAATATTTTTGACACGGATCAATAAACAATCCAATCTACAGTCCAAATTCCACGAATAACTAATCACTTGAAACGTTAAATAATGAAACGCATAAAAATTAATACGTTAAATTTTCTTCTGTATGCATAATTAAGAGCATTTTTTATCTTTATGAATAGTAATTAGCATGCATAAGCCTAAAGGTCATAAAAGGAGGAGAATTTAGTGGAAAATTGATCTACGATCTGTCCACGTATAACTTAACATTCGCTTCTGAACACTAAGAGATACAAGTTTCATATTTTGTATTAAAAAATAACACAATGTTGGCAAAAATATTTTTGGTCGTTTTTCTAACGACTAGTGTTATGACATTCGCTAAGGTAAATAAATATATTGGAAATAATAGTATAATTCCAAATTTGTTTAATTTATTTTAGTTTATTCATTAATTTTATATAAAAAATTGTTTAAATAAATATGTACATGTTTTAAAAATTATTGATATTTTAGGATGAGAACGAATTGGTTAGCTCAGTTCTTGGGACTGGAACTGTATTTATGAAGGAGGCTTCAAAATATATTTCAGATGACCAGGATAAATACTCCGTGGACTTGAACGCTTTGTACAAAAAATATGAAATCGCAGCAAAGGCTGAGCAAGCCAGGAACATGGTCCATTCTACGGTAAAAAAATGTGTTTATAATTTAGTAAATTAAATTATTTGATATTCAAACTTATATAACGATATGGATGAATGAACTGGACAAGTAAATCCACATTATATTGTATACCATATTATAATATAAGTACTTATTTAATTTAATATTCATATAAATTGCTCCTAAATATAATATTGTACATCTTCGCAGAGGCTCATTATGTTATTAATTAAGTACCTATACATACTCGGCTAGGTGTCGATAAGAAGATATACTAGGTATATAATATATATTATATTATAAATAAATTGTACTTTGTAATTTTACAATCTCTTGGTAATTGTATCATACTATTACTTATTATGAAGAATTTATTAATTAATTGAATTTATATTCATTAAGGTGTTAAAAGTGTTCCCTCTCTGAATTAATAATTCGGATCTTTTTTTTTTTATTAAAATACATATTGAGTCATATTCAATAAAAAGTAGGATAAACTCAAAAGACATTTAAAAATTCATTTTTAGTAAAATATAATGTTCAAAACAAATAGTAAGGTACTTAACTAAAATAAGTTTCTTTAAAAAAAATCAGCTGATGTATATCAAATATTTCAAAGTTTTTTGGTGCATTATATTTTGAACTTTGTTAAAATACTTTTAATTTTTTACTTAATAACTTTAAATGAAATTAAAATCATGTATAGATATTATTACGTATATATAGGTACATACAACGTTATTCATCAAGCACTCTGAAAACAATGTTTTCCGTTAATTATCATTAAGTCGGAATTAAAAACCATATTTTCAAATATTTAAATTTTTTCATACCATAATATAAAGACTATTCTCTGGTAATAACTAATTTTTTTTTTAAGTGTGAACCGATATTTTTTTACTGTAAATCGTTAAGCAGATAAATCGTTTTAAATATTGATGTATGTATATTAATCGAAATTTGGAAGAGTAGTTTCTTTGTTATTAAACTATTTATGTAATAGGTAAGAATTATATTCTTAGGAATTGTTAGGGCTATTATATCATACATGTATAGAAGATAATTATAAATTAAAATTTATATATATTAATTACATTTGATATTTGGAAAATTGATTTCATAGGTATACTATAAACGCTACACTAAATAATACATTATATATTTTATATTTTTCGTAAAACTATTATTATATGGATTATTATCCTTACTGCATAATATTTATTGAATACTCGTTTAGATTTCAAATATTTTCTCAGATTATTAAACATTTCTTGATGTGTATCACGTGAATCAAAAATATAAGTAATGTGGAAATATTTATCAAATCATACAATCATACGTCCAAAAGCAATAGTAAAAATAAAAAACTATTAATGACAAACAAAATTGAATTCTTCAATTCTTTAAGCTATGATTAAGATTTGTCGGTTATTCACTTTTAATTACATAACTATTTAGTAAAACCATGTTGATGAACATTTTTGCCTCTATAGGCTATATATAAATGCATAGGCTATAGTTATAAATTAAAATATACTTATAACTATTGTAAGTTCATAACTTTATCTTTTATGGGATTAAATTGATAACATTTAACTTCAGCAGTTCTTATCTTTTTTCATTCCTAATTAAACTAAAAACATATTATATTATACTATTAATAAATAATAATTATATTCCACGATTTATACGTCCCCTTGAAATCATAATTTATTAACAATGATTCAAATTAACACTGAATAAAATAAATGATGAATACAAATTGTTCTAGTTATTTAAAAGTTAAAGCAAACCCAAACATAAAAAATAGTCGAGACTCCATATTTAATATTCCAACCTTAAAATGGAGAAATATAAAATATAAAATATAAAATAATTAAAAATATCACACTTATTGGACTTACCAACATAACAAATCGACCTTTTTATACTTTAAATTCCCAACTGCAACTACAATAGATATCTATGGTTTTAATGGTTTATCTATATAAAAACCAAATCAAAGACAAATATATATTACAGTTTTATAATGAACTTAAAAACTAAAATATATATTTCTAAGCCTAAGTCCCTATGTCAAATTGTTAACCCATCTTTGTCAGGTATTTGAAATAAGTGTTATCGTCTTTGAAAAATAATCAAATTATAAGTGTTACTCACTGCTCGAGTCTGTTTATTATTCTATACACTATACAGTTTAATGCAAGAAAGATGTGAAAATTAAAAATAAATTACAATACTACATTAGAATATTTAAGAATGAGTTTTTTTTTTTTTTTAGCTTATAATGTAATATACAATCTAATTTATGCGAATATATTCACATTAAGTATTTAGGTATGCGAGTTAGAGAGGAAAAACCACTGCTATAACCTATGAGGTTAAATGATTCAGAACTTTGAAGCCGTCTATTAGTGACACTTGCCTTTATATTTTAGTTGATTGTATTAATTAAAATTTAAAAGATCAAGACGCCAGCTCATTTTAAGTCGGAAATTTCCAAGGATAGTAACATGATATATACATTATTAATAAGGGGATTCTCGTGATTTTAAAGTTTATTGAAGAACCTGTCTTAATATATCGCTGACTTTTTTCGTCAGCTGTTTTTATGCCATTATTATGACTGATGAAATTGGAAATGTATAGGGAAGTGAATTTACAAATCCCGGACATCTTACCACCTCAGACAATTTATATCCCCACCTAATCAAAATGTTTTAAAACCACATATTATGTTGTTAATTCAGGACCTGTTAGATACGATTTAAAGATGGATTTAAATTATTATAATTTAAATTTTAAAAACATATTATTAAAATAATTTTATTGTATTACTATTTACATCTGTCAATCGTTATTGGTTGACCAGTTTTATTAAACAGATCACTCTACTGTTTAGATAAAAGGTTAATATATTTATAATAAAACAAAAATGTGTCATGATTTATAGGGCATGATTTGGTATAATTGTCACTTGTCAGGTTGGATACAGATTAAAATTACCTAATATAGGCACATAAAGACGATTTCATTATCATTTTAATATCTTTGACATTTTTTTTTATTGCCTATATTCTATAATTATTCTAATTCCACATATATTTCATGCCCCCCCCCCACACGAACATGTTCAGTGGGGCCCATTATCTTTTTGAAGAATAAATAAAAATAAAAATGAAAATAATAGGCTTAATACAAATAACATATTGCATTTATTATAACTTTAAAAATACAAAAGTTTATTAATATTTTTTAATTGCTTAATATTTTATAGTTAAAAAGAAGTTTTGAGTTGACTAATGATTATGTAAAGAAATTTGATATTGAAGCCGAGGAACAATTAAAGAAGAGTATTGATATCATTAAGAAGGAAGACTCCGTGTTAGGAGATAAATTAACTAAATTTTACGAAAAGTCTTGTGAAGTAGACAGACTATCTGAAGATATTATCAAGTACGTATTGGACGCAGATAAAGTGAATGGTGCATTGGAAAAGGCCAAATCTGCACTCCGTCCAATTGAACACAAATTGGCTGATTCAATCAAAAAGTTCGAGGTAAACTATTGTACATTTGTACAAGATTTGATTGTATTTGTAAACTCAAAAATTTTAACAAATTTAACCAACTTATCAATAATTCAATATATATACTATATAGTCTTATGTATCATTTCAGTCCATCGTTCTTGAACATCTGCCAAAAAAAGGAAAGAAATAGGAGTAATATATCAACAACAATTTAAACTTTCAACAATTATTGAACAATAATATAATACCTAACCTAGTTTTAATGTGTTCATTATTGTATTATTAAGTTTAAATTTCAAATATATAATATTTATGTTTATGTTTATAATACAAAATACCACGCAGCATAGCCCATATGTACCTACTATAGATAGCATCAAAAATAATAAATTACATGTAGTAATATAACTTCTTAACTGATTATCTAATAAAAAAAATAATTCATCAATATCATATTTATTTATTTTAAATACCTATAAAATATTTTTATTTATACACAAATGACAAAACTATTAAAATGTGTTTAAATTATACCAATATTATACTTTAACTATTCGTATTATATCATAAAGGTTTTTAACTCTTATAAGTTATAATAGTTATAAATTTAAAACAATAACTTATAAGTAGGGCTCGGATGTTTATGAAATTGCATATTATTTTCTATGTGTCATATAGGCAACCTGGTCGACGGGCAGTTCACTTTGAATAAAGTTGTTTCTCTCCAATTTAATGTTCACCTGGATACAAATTTAATTTGTACTGAATTGTACTTAATGTTCTACTGAATCAAATAATACTATTTTTATTTTGTATATTTTTGCATATTTAATGGTTTTGTATTTTAATAGCATATTTTGGGATTTTAAAAATAAAAATGCATATTTCAGCACAATTTTTAAAAATAACTTCTAGGTAATAAAAATAAAATATTTATATTTTTGCATGTTTTTTTGTGCATATTTTTGTGTTTTTATTGGCTGAAAATTCACATTTTTAGCTCATATTTTTATTGCATATTTCGTAATTTTTTAGTGCATAAATGCATGCATATTTTAGTAATTTTAAGTGCATACACATCAGTCCTAGTTATAAGTATTTAAAAAATAACTTTAAGATCCCTTACTAAACTTAATATATTATAGGAATGATGAACGTACCTATATAATTTGTATGGTATTATAAAGTTTATTAGGATTTGGATCAATATTTGGAATTAGATACAGATAGAACTAGAAAAGTCATAATAATATAAGGAATAAGAAGTGTGCTCAATGATAAGACTACTTATATTTTTTTAAGGGGTAATTTATATATTATAATTTATATAATATTATGCACCCAACAATAAACGTAATGCAGTTTAGCTCCTAAGCGAATTATTTTAATTATTTTTTCAGAACGTGTGTTTTGCATGCTTAATTAAATGGTGGAATCAGAAATTACATATCATAGGTACTTACACTTTTTTTTTTTTTATTGTTAATATACCTAGTAATTTAATAGCAAAAAGAACTCACTGACGAGCAACGGGTTGGAATACTTAAATTTGCTGAGTTCAGAATTCTAAACCTTGAATTTAAGTCTGACTGACAAACTCCAATTGCACAGTTGTTCTTAACTCATTGAAATACATAGGTTTCTGAACAAAATTTCCAAAAATCACTTGAGAGCTAATCCACATTTATGCCACAAAATAGTAGGTACCTTTAATAAGAGTAAAGTGGCAAAATATGTTCAAATATGGCCTTGACCGCCTTAACTACTGCTATATAAATTTTTAATTTTTACTAAATAATTTCGTTAACTCAATATAATAGATATGATACATATTTATCTGTCTTTTGATATTTTTATAGAATGGTTTGAATATGAACAAAAAAATGCATGTTTAAGTACCTAGTAATTTAAATTTTTAAATCAATTTTATATTATTAAAAAATAATAAAAAATGTATATGAATAAAGTTTTGACTGTTCTGAGCTAAACGGTTGAAAATTCAATAGAATATCAGAAAAAAATGTACTTATTCAAAAGGGCGTAGCATGTGTGAAAGTACGTATATGACAAAACCAGACAGATTTAAAATACTGGATATGGCCACATGGGATATCCCATTACCGCACACAAATTTAGTCCTATATTTTTCACATGGTATAAAAAGCCCCAACTCGGAATTTGGACACTTGGAATAATTCTTTGGAACTGTTGGATACTTTTTTATACTTAAGAAGTAATCTTTCAGTTTTACATAATTTCTGGTACTCAGTTCCATCCACCTCACGCATTTTATTTTTGATCTACCTTCTGAAAACGGAAATTTTAGTGTCCCAACAATTCCCCAGAGGACAACAGGACAGAGGTACAAAAACTGGGCGCTTGTACATTGCGCCTACATTAAGCTGGTAGTAAAAATACTATAGTAAATTGGGCCCGAGATTTTTTGGTTTCTAAAATAGGTATAGTAAATTGCGCCAATAGTATCTAAGTGACCTTAAATTCATCGTTCCCTATTATGTGTATTTTAAAAATACTATTGTTCATTTATTGGTGGATAAGCCGAACGTTTATCGGTATAATCGTTATGATATTAGCGATATCAATGACTTTTCGTGTATACAACGACTTTACGTATAGGTAATATTTTAGTAAGCCGTTTGCGTGCCACAGTGAATCATGGATAGTGGCGATACCTATTATACATACTGGATTTAGCCTGAAAGAAAATGATGTTATAATCTACCAAACTTACTTACTAGTTATATCAAAGAAATAATAAATATCCATGGCACGAGTTTTTTTTTATAAGTATTTAAAGTTCAAATTATGACAACTTTATCAAATTTAAAATTTACAAAATTACTAAGTATGTAATTTTTTTTCTTTATGTGGCAGGAAAAGACTTTCTCACACATGGTGGGATTACTGGGGTAGCGTGGAGGTTTAATAAGCAGGAGGGGAGCATTCATTGCAACATTTATGAAATTCTAATATTTTAATTGTTATTTTACTAGTGTTCAAAGCAGGGGCGTCATTTGGGGGGCGGGCAAGGTGCGCAACGGCACCACTAACTTAAAAAATCTTAAAAATTGGGCCCGAAATTATTACTCCAATGCGCCGTCGGCCGTCATAATTAACTATTAACTATTATGTTTTCATACAATCATACATAGATAATGTAAATAAAATATATATTTTTTCAAGTTTTTTGTATATTTTTGACTTATCAGCTTTCTTATCAAATGTATAGTGGATAGTATAATATGATCTAAGCTTTTAATTGATTTACATGTGCAATTGGCGCGGTACACTATACATATAGATAACCCATCCACCGATAATCGATGGTAGCATGTTGCCTCCATAGATATTCTATAATATCTATAGTTGCCTCCACGCGACCACTCGCTCGTGAACAACTGAACGACGCGTTGTGGAATCCATTCATGTGTGCGAACTGCGCTTTCGTCTCACAACCGTCGTAACGTGTACTGTGTATCCAAGTATCCGTATTTGAGTTTTCATACATCTTTATTAAATTAACAAAATTAAAATTGATTCATAATTTCCGTCCACTAAAACGTTATTAACAAATAAAAATGATATAAATTTAGACACTATAGCATTATAAAGATTATCCTGAAGCGTTCAGCGAAACTTTAAAAATTATTTCAACAATAAAAACACTACCAATATCCACTGCTTCAAATGAAAGATTTTTTTCATCTCTCAAAACAGTAAAAACATACCATGGGCGACGAAAGATTAAATAATCTAATGATTATTGCAGTTGAGAGGAAGAAGGAAATAATATTGATTTACAAGAGGCTGCAGTAAATGCTTTTGCACACATTAAAACTCGTCGATATCCGCTAATTTAAATTTTAAAATAATTAATAATTGATACTTTGTATTAATGATGGTTAATTTTGGAATTCAAATGTATTTCATTATACCTTATTTGCCTTTTTTTCAAATAATAGTGAAATGGCTTTAGCTGGTTGCTTTAATTGCTTATAAGCTGCAGTGCCGGACTGGGCAGGCGGGATACCGGGAGTTTCCCGGGTTGGCCGCTTGTTTGAATTGGACCGCTTGTAGCTTTGTACCTTTTTTTTTAGGTTTTTCGGTTAAGGCTCACCCTGTCGAGAGACATAGATGCATTTTCTAATGCGATTGTATTAGACAACTATTTAGAATTAAGGAAATTCCTTAAAATAGATACCTATGAAAAAATGTATAAATTGTCAAAAAAAGATGCTTGTTGTCTTCGTTAAGGCTCTTGGAGCACATCGTATTTTTTGTAGTTTTAGACCAATAAGCGGAAGATTAGTTTATGTACTTCCCGATGTCCAATTATTATTTTAAAAATATGTATGAACTCATCATGTCCTTTTCTAGGTTATGTAGGAAACAGATTTTTGATTTTTGTATTCAATAAGGCTTAAAAATATGTTAACATTTAAAAAAAATTATGAAAATATTTTTATTTTATACACTATTACATTATGTTTTAAAATATCAATTATTTTTCCTATATAACCTAGTAAAGGGGATGATGACATACATATTTTTAAAATAATAATCGGACATCGGGAAGTACATAAACTATACTTCCGCTTATAGCTATTTTGTACCGATTTTAATGTTTTTTTTACAATAACACGATAATGGCCCAGACAATGGATTACACACACTAAGGTTGATTTACTACTCACACAATGATAAATATTTGCCAATAATATTTTTGCATAATTTCCTAAATTTTACTACTTAAAATATTCTACGCTCCAACAGCCTTAATCGGTAATCCCTCTACCTTTAGGTGCTGAACTAAGGTATAATAATGTGCTCGGTGGACACAATTTCGCAAAAGAGCTCAACCTTAACAAATCGATTAATTATATGTGTTAATGTGTATTCTGATTTCTGGAGTCTAATCATATGTATTTTAAATAAAAATGATAACGATTCTTTGTACTAACCAATTTTTAATTTTTTTTAAATTTTTTATAATAATATTAAGTGTTCAAATTATCAAAATAATATACAATCATTTTATTTGAAAATATATGTTTTTTTGGTGGGCCGATTTTTTTATTTTCCCGGTAGAAATGTTTGACCCAGACCAGTCCTACATATAAGCTTTTAATTCTTTGAATTGCTAGCTATTTAAAAGTTGTATTAGTCGTTAATCGTTATGAGTTTCAATTAGAATTATAAAAGAGAAGGAAAGAATATTATTTACATAGATTTGCATAAGTTACCTACATTTATAAATATAAATCTATTTTTTTTTTAATGGCCCGGTGAAATGTCGAAATTGGCCTGAATAAAAGTTTGCACAACCAGAAAAAAAACTGAAATGACGCCGCCAGGCGCAAAGTAATATTAATTCGTTTTGAAACTTGTGCAGTTATAAGTTATAACCTTAAACCAGGTGCGTTCTCAAAAAAAAAAATCGGGGGATGGTGGGGGGTCATAGTAAATTTCGGGGAGGGGTTCATAATCTATATATATAAATAAAGTACACAACTTTTAATTTACGGGGGGGGGGAATGTTCAAATATACGCGCCTGCATTGTACCCGATATTAATAATTTATACTACCTATATTAAACTTTTATACAAAACTATAATATAATAAAATAAATTTTTTATAATATACCTAGTTCCATACTTCTATATAGTTTCACAGATTAAATTTTCATTTAAACTGTGATAGTATAATATAGACTCTTTTAGTAGATGAGGGGAAGCTGTAGCGAAATAAATCGCAAGCACAACGAAACCGGTTTTTAGTTTCAACGGACGCCAAACATTGGCGCGGAGAATTCGGCGGGAACGCTTGAGAACAACGGGATATTTTCTGGCAACCGTTGCGGTAACCCTGGTTCGTGGTTGGCGCATGCGCCATTGCGTTCAGTCCGTCGCGGTTAGTCCCCGCAATCGGCGTGTAAACACAAAAAATCCCGACATCCGATAATTATACAAACCTTTTTGCGTACTTTCGAGTTGCGAGTTTGCGACCTGCTACCCGTTTTTGGGCTTTATCCGCAGTTTTTTGTCTGTCCTCTACGGCCCCATCCGAGTTCAACGGCCGTAATTCGTCGTTTTTCAGAACGATCGTTTGTCGTACTTCCTTATAAATTCCGTTTGCTAATAACGATGGTCTGCAACATCACCGTAAACTGAGCCGTCCGACCGCGTCAGTCGGCCCCGCCACCGGACAGGAATCGCGTCCCGCAGGAGCTGTCGGGTTAGGTACCTAATGCGGGTGAGTATTCGTTGGTCAGAATCTTATCAGCGATCCGTGTCCGACTGGGCTCCGACTGAGAGCGCTCATAATTACGGTCTCAGCTGCAGGTGTGTTTGAAGCCAGTCTGAACTACTGACAGTCATCATTCCCCGTGCCTTTGCCCCAAATGTCCAAGATGTATGATTCCAACAGCGACTTGGATCGACAGATTGAACAACTCAAGCGGTGTGAAATCATCCAGGAGCATGAAGTGAAAGCGTTGTGCGCCAAAGCACGAGAAATACTCATCGAAGAAAGCAATGTACAGCGTGTTGACTCTCCTGTCACTGTAAGTATAGTTGTATGTAGTGGTACTTGGATACATAAATGTACACATTTATTAAGTGTATTATCATGTTCATATTTTAACCAAATTTCACAGAAATGATTTCAAAATATACCATTCATCTTTGCGTTTATAGGAACCATTACTTATTTTGGTTGCCTCATTATGGATATCATCACCTTTCAATCTATTAAAGATCTTAGCAGTAGCATATCTAAGATTTTTTCAAGGGAGGGATATACAATTTTTAATAGACATACAGTATTATACACTTATTATATTCTTACTATTATATAATGTTGTATTGTGTACAAAATTTGGCCTTCAGGGGGGGATATGACCCCCATATCCCCTCTCCCTTAGAAACACCACTGGATCTTAGAATTTGAAATAAATCATTTGTCACATTTCATTTTTTTTTTTTGTACAATACTGTTTCTCTGTCTATTCTAAAATCAATGGTTAAACTTAATGATGGTAGATCTAAGCATAATTCAAATTTTAAATTTCATTATTCATAAAACTATGAAATATAATATAAATTGTATGTATTTATATATATTAATTTTGCAGGTATGTGGTGATATTCATGGGCAGTTCTATGATTTAAAAGAATTGTTTAAAGTTGGTGGAGATGTTCCTGAAAGAAATTATTTATTCATGGGTGATTTTGTCGACCGAGGATTCTTTAGTGTTGAGACATTTTTACTTCTACTTGCTCTAAAAGTATATATACAATAAATTAACCTATCTTGTATTTATTATTAATTTGTTAAATACCTGCATTATGACTGGATAAGTGGGAGACAAACTCTATGTATTTGATCTTAATATTTTGTGATCATTATAAAAAGAGATATTGATTTTTAAAATATAGGACTTACATGAGTTACTTCATGTGGAAAAAATATTTTTCATCTCTTGAAAACCTTGAAAATGTCGTTTAGCCTTTCTTACCATGTAATTTGTGATTTATAATAGAAGAACATTTACTTGGTGTATGTATAAGTTTTTCTTAGGACACAAATAATATGGAAATAATTAATGAAAGAAAAAATTATTTTTAATAAACTTATGGACTACTTGACAATTTATACATATAGGTATAATTAATCTGTCTTATATGTTTTGGAATGGCTATATTATAATATTATAATCGAACGTATCCTGACAAATAAACAAATTGAACAAAGTTTGAATCATAATATAGAGTTAGCACATTTAACGGACAACAAAATCAGCTAGTTTATTATAAAATTAATTTTGAGTGATAGTGTTCTAAACCTTCTGGAACTTTTTCATTCATGTAACAGATTGTAACATTTCAGCTTAAAATATTTTAGTTTCACTAGTAAATTACAAATGTATTACAATTTGCAAAAAGTTATTTTAAAATGTTAAAGTGAACACAACTTTGCACAAATTGTTTTATTCTTACATAATATGTCATTTGTTCAGAAAATTATTTTTGTGTTTTTAGTTTCAATATTATAGTTAATCCAAAAGAAGGCGAATCATTCAATTTAAAAATAAATATCTAAAATATAATTTATTTCATGGGATATTATTGATGTTTTACATTTAGTTAAATCTATGTAAAATATTACGGTTATTATAACTCTTTTTACATTTTAAATATCAATTGTGTGTGTGTGAGCTTTAAAATTTGTATTCTCAATATAGGTAGTTTTAATATTTCAAAAAACTTTAGTCTATCAAATTACCGGATAAAGCAAATAAAATGAACATAATAGATAATCCTAAATTAATTCAAAATTTGTCTGTTTATTACTTATTATATAAAACATTATTTAATACTTACCAATGAGCTTTTTTTTTTTTTAAATATGGCTTAAAATAAATAGTTGAAATATGTTGCAAGTTTAATTAGGTTAAAGACCACTGCGCTAAATAATTATTTTGCCTTTAAGTTATATAATAGATCAATTCACTCTTATATTAATATTTACAACACAAAATTGATTCTGCTGAACACAAATTTGCTTTGTTGTATGTTTTTAAGATGAATATTACATATGGTGGTGTAACAGCTTCTTCTTATGGTTTCTACAAATGTACATGTTTAAAGATTTACTTATCACTTAATTTTAATATCTGATTTAGTTATGTTTAATTTTATTAACACTTAAGGCATATTTGATTACAGTTACTGGTAGTAGAACAATATCTAACTAAGTCAATATTTTAACTAAAAGTGTAACATTTAAGGGGCCTTGCTACGGTTATTATTTAAGGGTCAACTTTTAAGCAATTTCTAATCTTGTCATAGCTGCCCGGGATCTATGTGTTAGTTGCAGGGCTTGTAAGCATGTTTTTTTTTTGCTACACAGAAAAACATGCTAACTGAGGTACAAGTCCGTTTCATAACAAATAATATGAAGTTTGATAGTGCATGTTTTCGCATCTTTCGGGTGTAAAGGCATATTTGGCATATAGTTGATTTTTTACAGTCGTTAGTGCATATTATTTCATAAAAATACTTTTTAGACACATTTGAAGTTTCTTGTTTCTTATTTACTTTTCCGTTTACAAAATTATAGTGTTTTTATTTATTTTTATTCTCGTGTGAGTGTGAGTGTGTAACTACCTAGTACCTAGTGTCCTTGTACATAGGTACCTATTTAGATTTTAAGCGTTTTACGTAATACCGCGGAAACAATGTAATCGCTACCACTACCATCCTCCACTGTACAAAGTCCACCGTCGAAAAGAACCTGTACAAGCATGTACACGAGTGCAGCTTCTCACCAATCCGCATTTATAATTTTGTACATTGGTATAGTATAGTTTTTTTTTCACTGATGAGTTTGCTCGTACTAGGCGTTTGTCTGTTCAATTTCCTGTTTTAGTGTTTTCTTGTGAGATATAGGTACTGTACACATCATTCATATTTTATTTAAACAATGCCTAAAGGAAAACAAACAGTTGCGGACCGTTTGAAATATGTGGCGAAATTTGAATTTTTTAAATTGTATGGATTTATTCTTATTATTTTAGAATTTGCTCATGATTTTTTTACATAATGCATATTTTGAGTGCATAATTTACAAATGTTAGAGCATGCAAATGCATTTTTTCAAACATTTTAGTGCATGAAGGTACAAGCCCTGGTTAGTTGTAAATGATTATTAGTGTGAATGAAATTAAATGCGGGTTCTCCCTCGGACTCGCATGCAGATGTCAATAACTCGATAACATTTACTTAACATTTTCCGTTTTTAATATTAATTTTAATTTTAATTATGATTCGAAAACTTCATATTTTCAAGTTTTCGATTACAGTTCACAATAATATTAAATTTAGATTTTACAAAGTACTTTGTACGATCTATAGACAATTTTCTGGGGAGTTAGAATTTTTTTTCAGCTAAAATTGATGGCAGTAGTGAGGCCCTTTAAATCATCAAATGTATTAAGAGGACATCACACCTGCATGTGTTGTCTCCATCATACATTTGTACAACATAGCAAAAAACTGTTTTTCACAGAACAATTTTACTCCCTCAGTATTCATAGTAGAATTACCAAAATTCCACAACACGTAGGGAATAACTTTATCTGTGTTGTAGTGTTTTTATTATTTGGATAACATAAATACATTTAAAATTATTAGTGCTATCAAAAAAATTGAAAACATTACGACACAAATAAAGTTCTTCCCTAAGCGTTGTGGTATTTTGGTAATTCTACTATAAATACAGAAAGATAATAATGTTGTGATGCGCAAAACAATTTTTGCTACGTTGTACATAATTTGTAAAATGGAGACCACACATGTGGGCGACGTCCTCTTAAGATTTATTAACTACTATAATTTAACAATTCAATTTTCTCATACAACATAAATTGATCAAGTTAAATGTATTCAAGTTAAACACATTTTTGTAACGCCATTTACTTTTAATTATCTAGTTATTAGCATTTTCCAAAATATTAATATTTAACTATTTTTACAGGTAAGATATCCTGATCGAATAACCTTAATACGTGGTAACCACGAATCACGACAAATAACTCAAGTTTATGGTTTTTATGATGAATGTCTACGAAAATACAATAGTGTTGCTGTATGGCGTTATTGTACCGAAATTTTTGATTACCTGAGCTTATCTGCTATTATTGACGGAAAAGTATGTTAATTTATTTATTTATTGAAATAGTTTTTATAGTATTTATTTTTTTTTTATTTTAATTAGATATTCTGTGTGCACGGTGGATTGTCGCCTTCCATTCAAACATTAGATCAAATTAGAACTATTGATAGAAAACAAGAAGTTCCCCATGATGGACCTATGTGTGATTTATTATGGTCTGATCCTGAAAGTAAGTTTCTTTATTTTTTAATAATCGTCACTCATTATTTAAAAAAAAAAAAAACAGATTTTTAACATACACAATTATTTTAGATACTCAGGGATGGGGCGTGAGTCCTCGAGGTGCTGGATACCTATTTGGTTCTGATGTTGTCTCCCAGTTTAATACTACAAATGATATAGATATTATTTGTCGAGCTCATCAACTAGTCATGGAAGGATATAAATGGCATTTTGATGAAACTGTGCTTACTGTTTGGTCAGCACCTAACTATTGTTATCGGTAAATACTACTCTAAAAATTACACATTACGCTATTTATTTATTAATGCTGTTATTTAATCGTTAATACTATTAGATGTGGTAACGTTGCGGCAATATTGGAACTCAGTGAAACACTTCAAAGAGATTTTACAATATTTGAGGCAGCTCCACAAGAAAACCGAGGAATGCCAACAAAAAAACACGCAGCTGACTATTTCCTTTAAATGTACTCTGGTTCTTAATGTATTTAAATTTAGTTCACAAAGCATAAAGGAGGAATGGACAATTTCACAAATTTGAATTAATTGTATTTGAAAGAATACTGACAATATAATGATGTAATTTTTTTAAAGTAAAAATACTTGTTCATAATTATTGTTTTAATTAAGTTACCTTAACATTTTCTATTTATTAAATGCCTTCCATGGAAGTAAATAGATACGTAAACTATTATAATAAATAATAATTTTTTTTATAGTTTCTTAAATAAATAGTTATAACGACTTATAACATATAACTGAATGTTTTTTGACTAACATTTATACATGAAGTAAATTAATAATATAATATGTTTTTAATAAATAATTGGGTCTTAAGGTGAATTACTGATTGTACCATTAAATGATTAATTTATACATTAAACATTGAAAATGACATAAATTACTTAACAATACTACAGTAGTACATTGATATTAAAGTAAAATATTATGTTTTACTTATTAGAGATCATTAGTTGGCAAAAAAAAAAAACAGATATTGGTGTGTTTATTCCTGATAGAAATTACAAAATGGGTAAGTTTTTAACATTTTAACCTAAGTTTACAAAAAATATTGTTATCATTTTTGATAATTCAATTTTAACTGGACTTGTTATCGCATCATACTAAAACATGTAATTGCTTATAAGCTATGTTTGAATGTCCAATTGGGGGTAAATGTCTTCTTCATCTTCATCGTTTTCATCATAATCATCTCCTGGTTCTCCAAGGGCATTCACAAATTCTGTAAACATAGAGATTTTTGAAAATTAAAAATTGATTATAAATTAATTCTAATAATTTTGTACATATTTTTTCAACACTAATTTTACAAATTGAATTAATAATGATATTATAAAACTATTTTATTTTAATTGTGCAAAATTAAATTAGAGTAAATATAAAATAAGTATATCATCGATACAAAATAGTTTTCGAGCCATATCCATTATAAATTTAAGAATAAAATAAAAAATAACTATATAATTTAGTTGCAATATCTGTCATAAAGTTTAATACTGGAAAAGTATAAAATCAAAAAATATATACCATAAGGTTGGTACCTAAGATATTTTAAATATAATAAACATAAAGAACCGGTGGTAAAATTAAGTGTCTGTATAAATGCGCTTTATGATTCTGAATCCTGAACGCGTATAATAACCAATAGGTACTTGCCACTTGGTATATTTTTTCACAAAGTTATAAACTAAAATAAATGACTATCTTATTATGTTTATAAATTATATTTACATAAATAATATTACTTTAATTTAAAATACAGATTACAGACAGGTAAATGCTTGAGTTCAGTTGATAAACCATATACGCAAGCCCGGATAAGGGGGGGGGAGGGACATGACCACGGCCTACAACAGATATCAAATAGTTACCCTGGCGAGTAAGTTAGGTTGGTTCTATAAACCACATTTACAAATTGGCTATTTTCAATTATAACAAAAATTAAATCAAATCTAAATTTTTTTATCTTAGTATTAAAAAATAAGAATGTTATACGTATAATACGTGTAGCACACGAGTCAATAATTTATACATAAAAAAAAACTAAAATAAATTGATTTGCAAAAGTTATTTCATTAATTCATTTGTCAAGCTTTTCTGTTATACATCGGTATTATACAGTAGGCACACGATAAAATTATATACTACATGTCCAAATAACTGCTATATCCACTCAATCATAGGTACGAAAATAAAACGTTATTGTGAGAATCTATTTTTTATATACAATTGTAGTATTGTACAATACTACAATGGTTAGTTCGAGAAGCGTACACAACAAAATAAAAATTCTATTCTACGTTCTCATAGGTACTTGCCGTAAAAATCGATTCTTCCATCTCCGTCCACGTCTACTTCCTTGATCATATCCTCGACTAGAATAAATAAAGCAAGGTATAACATTTTTATAAATCCCGTAATACCTTTATTAGGTAGCTGGTAGATGGTTGGTATTTTTTTTAAACGTTACAATATGTAGGTACAATATACTTACTTTCTTCTTCTGACAAATCTTCACCCAAACATTGAAGGACAGCTCTCAAGTCCGACGCACTTATGTATCCTCTGTTATGTTTGTCAAATACCTGAAACCACATTATTTCGGTCCAGAAACTACTTTTTATGATTTTTGAAAAAAAAATGTATTGTATGTCTATATCAGTTACCTATTGGACATTTTACTACCACAATCACCATTTAAAGTTCAATGTACGTAAGTTATAATATGTATTTAAGAGTAGTCGATTATGAGACAAAATATATAAAACATAGTTAATTCATATTGGTTAGGTTTTTGATTAATATTTGCGTTTGCAAAGCTTTGCGTTTGCAAGATCGGTTGAAAAAAAAGTATTATCCAGCACAAATACATATTATTTATAATAAATGTATGCAAACATTTTTAAAATATTTAATTTATGACCACCGAGTTGTTAATATTAAAACGGTTCAGACAATTATTGTAGTAGGTATACTGATATCAAATAAAATGTAATACACTATAGGTACCTAGCAATTAAACTGCAGATATAAGTTACATTTTCGATAATACTCAGGAATAATAACTATACATTATTTTTAAAATCTTTACAATTCACAATGTATAATAAGTAAGTTTGATGAATAATATTATAAATGTATAACATAGCAAAGAAATTAAGGTATATGGACCACCCGATCTAGAACTTTTTAAGTATGTATTGTGGTTTTTTTTAATTTAAATTTTATCTTAGTAGGCATCTAGGCCAAGATCTCTTTAGTTTTCCATCTAAATTACCAAGCAATGAGATGGAGGATAATTGTTTAATAAGTGGATTGCTATGAGACTATGATCCATGAGGGTTTAAATTAGTATGAAATAGTAATTAACTAACTATATAAATAAAACTATTTTTTTCATATAATATACCCATGCGATGTACCTATACGGCTATACCTTAACTCTTTGAGGGGCGAAAATTTCCTTTGGAAAAAAAGCCCATGTGGGCAATATGTCTCTTTGCCATAACATTTAGTACGTATATCAAAATATTGATAATGATAATAAATGATGAAAAACGCGGAAAATAATATCAGACCAGTGGCAGTGATATTGTTTGATGCTTGTATTAGATGATAATAAGGTGGTTGATATGCTGACCATTATTAAAAAAATATTACAAATAATTTTAAAAGTGGTTAAAATAGTAACCACCGCACCTGAACGGTAAAAAAAAAAGTGGTTAGCATACTAACCACGGCCCCTCAAAGAGTTAACAAAACTATTGATATACCTAGTACCAAGCCCGGATTAAGGGGGGGGGAAAGCCCTTGGGCCTCCATTTATTTAGGGGCCTCAGATTTGTCCATTATAAGCTATAACACCTCATAAATCACTTAAAAAAAATCGATGATTATTTAGCGAGGAAAAAAGCAAAATGATACTTAATTCTTGATTTATTGCTATGTACCTAATACCTATATATATTTATTATAACAGGTACCTATATATTAATATACATTATTTTTTTTTCGTACAGGGGCCTCATTTAAACTTTGGCCCCTGGGCCTCAAAATGTCTTAATCCGGGCTTGCCTAGTAGGTACCACTCATAATAGAAGATATAGGTTATCAAATTATTGATTATTTAATACCTATAGAAAGCAACAATGTGAAAAGAAGCTTAGATTTTGTTTATTTGTTACCTATTTAATTAATATATAATATTTAAATTTATAAAAAAAATATGTCTGGGGGGGACTAAGCCCCTAGCCCCCCCACTGGATCCATCCCTGTTATACATCCTATCCTTAAATCTTAATTGTGTACCTAACCTATAGGTACAATATTTTCAATATTTCATGAATAATTTTTTATGTTTTTGAACATCCTAATAGGATGAAAAATAACATAGAACTCTAAACAGTTTTATGTCATATGATATCATTCTATCAAAATACTAATCTATAACACTCTTCTTGTACAGTTGTACAGTTGTGTCACAGTACAGTGGTCAGTGGAGTATACGCATGTACTTGTGTCTTAGGTAGGTACTGCACTAGGTTAGGGTTGACGGTTTTTTCGGTATACCGTCAAAACCGGTATACCGGTTTTTGCATAAATACCGTTGCAACGGTATACCTAATCCCGGTCATACCGGAAAACCGTAATACCGGTGCATACCGGAAAACCGTAATACCGGTGCTTACCGAAAAACCGTAGTACCGTTTGCCGTTTGGTGACGGTTTTTTGGTATACCGGTTATTTGCTCAATTTGCTGATCAGTTTTCAGTCTTATCAGTTATGCCGGTACTCCCTCAGCATATCATTTCAGTGTTTTTCAGTTTTCCGGTACCACGGTTTTCGGTATTACAGTTTTCCGGTATTACGGTTTTTCGGTATATACGGCCGGTATTACGGTATACCGTTTCATACCGGTACCGAATCTAATACCGCGATACCGGTTTCAAATTTCAATACCATCAACCCTACACTAGGTACTCTCAAATCTCAATTAAGTATAAATTACAGGGACTGGAACCGAATCTAAAAGAACCGGTTCTGGAACCGGAACCTTTATTTTAATATATAAAGTACCAAAACCGAACCGGAAGTTTTATATTATATACCTAGGTTCTTTTAGGTTCTAAAATATAATAATTTTATGTATTTATTTTTATTAGATAAAAATAGAGTATTTACATTCTGTAATATAATACAATACAATAAGTAAATGTTTTATTTTTTTTTATTGATCATTAAAGCCCGGCGACTATGGCCATTAGCTAATTGCAAAAACGTTGTCAATTATTTTTACTAAGCAACATGCATAACATTTTTTAGAGTTCTCAGATGTCCACATATCACAAAAACTTAAGGTCAATATTACTTTTTCCATATTTTTGTAAGAAAATTACATACATAAGTACCTATTATCTATAAATACAAATTAATAATAATCATAATATTTATTTAATGTTCCTACTCAAAATTAGCTGGAACCTGTACCTTTTTTTTTTCATCAAAGAACCAGAACCGGAACCGTTATTTTATTTTTGGAGCTCCGATACTGATAAATTCAAAAGGTTCCAGTCCCTGGGTATAAAGGCGGGTTTCCACTATACACGTTTGCCGTGTAAACGAAAAATGTTTAGCTATGTCCAACTACACGGTATCGTGGTTAATCGTGTGGTAACTGATCCTAACCAACCAATCACAGCTAAGGATTTGTATGCACGTACACGCATACGTGTATAGTGGAAACCCGTCTTAACTCCGCACTAGTGCACTACCACTAGGTAAGCAACAGTAGAAGCTATCTTTTAAGTTTTAAATAATAAATATAAGGTACAACACAATATAGTAATAATAATAATATGCACATAATTCTATAGGTACCAATTAAATAAGATTAAATTATGTAAGCAAATTATTTATTTTTAATCATAGGTTTCATTTATTTTTATAATAGGAATAATGTATATAGATAGGTAGTTGATTTCCTAACAAGTAACATGTATAATTACAGATTTCCAAAAATTCTTTTTATTTATGAACCTAAAGCTATAAAACTATTATTCTAAAACTATAATTTGTTATTTTGAACTTTGATAGTATTATAGAAATGATAACATCTATTATTTTTTTTGTTTCGTAAACGAACTTTGAATCGATAGGTATTTCTGGCGTAACATTGAATATTGATGAATGATGATTAATAGGTTATCACTTATCACAATATTATATTAATTTTTAGGTACCAAAATAGGAAGTAAACAAAAACCGAGAGAGGTAGTCTGTCTGCTGTAGGTACCTTAGTACCTACAATAGATTTCGAATTCACCTCGTGTCCTCGTCATTGATTTTGGTAGGTAACTATACTGTAATGGATGTATGAAATTTGAATTCAATAACACAACTTATAAGTTATAGACTATAGCTATAGATATGAACGATAATGAATGGATATTATGCATCTATTTACAAGAATATTTTATAATATATTTATATTAGGTACTTACTATTATAGTAGCACATTAGTAGGTACCTAATTTAATTTTCTTTTAGGAATACCGCTGGTTGGTTGAACTAATTGTTGCAAGAACATCGCATAAGTAGATTATCATAGTTATATCATAATATCATATGATAATGAATTGTTATTATTATATAACTATATAAGTTATAATATTATTTGCTTAAATGTACTTAGGTACCTATACTTATAAGTTATAAGTCAATACTGACTTATACCATCGAAGAACGGTGATAATAGGTTCATAGTAAATAATATAAATAGCTGAATACATTAGCTCAAAATTATTATGGTGTATAGAAAATAATAATTTACGCAAACACGCAATAATGAAAAGTTTTAAGCTTCTACGGCTTAAAATAACTAAAATTGTTATTTTTGTACAAAATATATCTAATTACCTACATCAACGTTTTATATTCCAACGTTCATAAAAATTACTGGAGATTAAGGCTAATTTTTTTTTTTTTAATTACACTAAAGACAATTTATGAGGAACCTTAAATTCAATGTTCAGCTCTATGGTATAAAAATGTATGCATTTTTAACTAAAAATAACTTTCAATTTTTGGAATATGACAATACTTGCATAAAAACAATAGTAATTAATAATTATATATTATTTTCTATATCTACCTGTTTTTTTTAATTTCTATAAGAACAACTATTGATGAACCTTGTATTACAATTACATTATTAAGCTCTTATTAGTGCACCCTCGGCTTGTAATCACCTACCCTAGTATGAATAGTATGATTTGACAATTTAAATCTGCAAAGGACCATAACACTTATAAAAAAAATCCATTAAGTATAACAAGCTTTATCCTTCTAAACATACATAATAAAATAATAATATGTTAAAAGCCTCCAGTAAAAAAATAAAAAATAAAAACATATATAGATATTGTTAGTTTCAATTTATTTTTCTTTTTAAAATAATTGAACAGCTAACTGCAGAAAGGGGATGGGTTCATTTTTATAACTTTTCAGGAGGGACAAAAAACGAAATCATAACATGACCATTTTCTGTAGTAAACTGAAATTTCCAAACACTATATTTAGCTTTTGGATAATCGGATTTGACTCCTTTATGCAGTAAACGATGTATTTACGCGTTTTTTTTTTTGGGAACAAAATCGAAATTGATAAAAACGGATTTGTCCCCTTTCTGCAGTTAGCGATTTGGTTATGATTTTAGTTTACACTATTTGAATCATTTTATTTTTCCATTTCCCCCATCTTATAAGTAAAATACATGTTTGGTCTGTTCACAAAATACTGGCTGTTATATTGTTTATTTTGTATTTTAGTTTTAACTATATTATATTTCTGGTTCGAAAAAACTTTAAAGGATGCCAAACTGATTAATAAATATTTTTCTGCTATTTTTCTCGTTTAGCTGGGATGAAAAAACTTTCCGACATACGATTTAAAGATAAATCGTTAAATTTTAAACTGTTTTTAAACAGACATATAAAAATCTTTATTCGCTTTTATTTTAAATCCATTATGTATTTTAAAAGTTTGAATACAACTGTTTGTTAATAATATATACTAAATAAGTACTTAATAGTTAATGTGAAATTGTGAACTTATGTAAGCTTTAACGTTATACTTTAAAAGTTTACAAAGCGTTTAAAGGTGTTTGACATGTAAATAGCAAAAGTTCTTATACATAGCTAGTTAGCTATATATATTTTGTAATATAAATGTTAAACTATCTTTAAAACATGAAATAAAAAAAATGAATTTTTGATTGGAATTAAATGTATGCTCAAAGTTGGGTACCTACTCTAAAACGTACTTTACGATTGTATAATATACCATTTGTGACGTATCAGCTTTTATCATAATTTTAATTATGCAACAATTTAATTTTACATTTATTTAAAACGATTGTCTAAAATATGCCCACAGCATTTTATGGTTTATAAATTGTTATAATATGAGACATTTTCAATGATTCGATATTAGATTAACTGTAGGTAGTTTTAATATTTATTTACTCATAAAGTGGATTTTAATTACGCATTTAATAACATTACTTCTATGTTTCTTTTTCACCTATGCGATTTAACTACCTGTAGAATATAGGTATGTAAAAGATTTTTTTTTCACGATTGTGTGGTTTTTCATTCAATTAATTAAATATTGTGTTACATACTTACATGTTTTTATATTTTGAAAATTGCATTTATTTTCTAATTATTGAACATTAACAACAAATTAAGTACTTCAAACAATTAGTTCTGTTATTTCCATACCTACTATATATACCTTTATTATATAGTGCTCCTCGATAATAATATTATTATTCAAATATCTACTTGGAATAGCGTAATTATAATTACTCACATAGGGTAACGGTAATCGAATATTAAAGTGTCATATTTTATTACAATAGTTTAGTATTTCATATGGTATTTGCTGCAGCGTGTGGGCTGTGGCCTGTGGGTAATACGAATTTATTATGTCATATTGTTATGTAGGCAGTCGCACGGTGTATGATTGTATGAATTATGGACAACTTTTCGATCCAATAAATCGATTATTACTATTAATACTTAGGGCACGTTAAAGTTGACAATTATATTGTTCCTACAAGACATTATTGTTCTGTGAAGTAATAATTATTAATTTTATTTCAGCAGTTCATGTTGTAGGCACTAAATATCATACTCGTTCAGCTCTAGTTATCGTAGCAGTGGTTCAGAGTGTGCTGAATATTTTATAAGACCCATTCCGAGTCAAAAGCCAAAAGTTGTATTGTTCTGAACTTTAATGTATGCATTTATTTACCCTCGGGACATTAAACCAAAGACCTCGTAAATAAAATAGTATTATATAATATTGTATTATTATTGTATGGCTATAAAACCATAATATATATATATCCTTTTGTCATAATGTATACTCATCATCGTTGATCGTTAAACATACACAAATGGTGTAACGAACAGTTTATCTTTTTTATCTCTCCTAAATTTTTAATAGCTTTTCAAATTGAATATATAAACGTATACAGTACGTACACGTCGTGTATACGCTGGTTTTATTTTTCCCCATACCTAAGTGATTCCATACCTAAGCCATCCCATTACACGATTATATGAGGAAACACGCGAAGATCAAGACACGAATATTAATATCAATATAAATATATAATATAGAAAACGCTACCATACTAGTAGAAATGAACGTGTGAAACCGTACATCATTATAAGTGAGGTATAGTATATATAATAATATAAATAGGTCCCGAAATTCCGTCCACATACATTGAACTCAGTGTATGTTAAAGCACCGTGGTATAATAATATGTTAGTAATAGATAAATGTGATGCACAAAAAGGTTTGAACTTTGAAATAGGTATAGGTTAGCGTTAAGACTGAATGAATATTTTGTTTCTTACGATATCTATAGAAGGGAACAAACTATATTTTTAACTTTGAGTCCAATGCAAATATTATATCAACAATGTCAATTCACAATGGATTACTCATAGAAAAGAGATTAAAATGGATTACTATTTTACTGGAAACTATATATTATAATAATAATATTTACGAAGGTACATTGTTCATTGTTTATAGTATATAGTAGGTACTAGGTATATCAATAGTTTTGTTTAGGTATAGGTACATCGCATGGGTACATTATATGAAAAAAATAGTTTTATTTATATAGTTAGTTAATTACTATTTCATACTAATTTAAACCCTCATGGATCATAGTCTCATAGCAATCCACTTATTAAACAATTATCCTCCATCTCATTGCTTGGTAATTTAGATGGAAAACTAAAGAGATCTTGGCCTAGATGCCTACTAAGATAAAATTTAAATTAAAAAAAACCACAATACATACTTAAAAAAGTTCTAGATCGGGTGGTCCATATACCTTAATTTCTTTGCTATGTTATACATTTGTAATATTATTCATCAAACTTACTTATTATACATTGTGAATTGTAAAGATTTTAAAAATAATGTATAGTTATTATTCCTGCGTATTATCGAAAATGTAACTTATATCTGCAGTTTAATTGCTAGGTACCTATAGTGTATTACATTTTATTTGATATCAGTATACCTACTACAATAATTGTCTGAACCGTTTTAATATTAACAACTCGGTGGTCATAAATTAAATATTTTAAAAATGTTTGCATACATTTATTATAAATAATATGTATTTGTGCTGGATAATACTTTTTTTTCAACCGATCTTGCAAACGCAAAGCTTTGCAAACGCAAATATTAATCAAAAACCTAACCAATATGAATTAACTATGTTTTATATATTTTGTCTCATAATCGACTACTCTTAAATACATATTATAACTTACGTACATTGAACTTTAAATGGTGAGTTGAATAAAAAATAATTTAAATAATTATTATACGGGTTAAGAATTTTTTTACTATTCAAAAAATCAATCTATAAAATATGATCTTAATTCATTGAATTCCTAACAAAATGTAGCATGCTACTAGATATTTTTCCATTGCACTATACCCAAAAACATATCTATGATTCATTGATTCCTCAACTTTCCTTGCGGAGAAAAAATATCTAGTAGCATGCTACTTTATTTTTTATGTTTTTTTGACTATATGACTACTATATTACGAATTTCCATGGGGTATCTGCACTCTACAGGGTATACCTATCTTACATTGTTTTCAAAACGTAAGTACCAATATAGTTTTACTGTGACCATTATCAAGTCTATAAATCACTGGTTGTACCATCTCTATAGAGAATAATCTAAATAACAATAATATACAATATTTTAACGTACCCTAAATGCGTCTCGAAGCTCTTTTTCCTCTTGGTCCGCCGTCTTTTCTGCTGTACCCCCCATATTGTACACAATTTCTACAAACTCTTGAAAACTGAAAGCTCCATCGCCTATACAGCATAACAGAACAAGTTAACAATGACTAATTTCAATATTTCATTAAATGTTCGGTATAATTTGTTGACTTCTTAATAATGGTTTTTTTAAAAGCTAAAAACTAGAAACATTGTAGGTACCTACGTCCTACATGACACAAACGTCACACGTTATAATAATTACCTATATTAGGTATTACATAATAGTTTAAATTATCAAAAATAATATAAATATGCTAATAATTAATGGATATTATATCTTTATACTAAAATTATAATTTTTTTTTTTTATTCCAATATCATCTAGTCTATATTTATACTTAATGTACCTACCTATATATATATTAAATGTATGCAATATTATAATATTATGTTGATATAATTAATATAGTCCGACGGAGTTTGAGCTCACGCCTATGTCATTCAAGTTTGGATCTATTTGATTATTCAAACAGTTTGAATGTTTGACCCACTTATTCTAAAGTATGCATAAATAAAATTAAGGCATAATCCATACCATCAATGTCGACTTCTTGTAACATGGTCTCCAATTCTTCTTCTCTAGCAAACTGTCCAAGACTCCGCATAACTCGACCCAATTCCTCTTTAGTGATGCTGCCATCACCGTCTTTGTCAAATAACCTAAAAGCTTCTTGAAATTCTACAACGAAGATGTCAAATCTATTAGCCTTTGTTTATTTTAAATATTAATATTATTTGTTGGGTAATTAAAAATAAAACACTCGAAAAATGTACGAAAAAAACATTGTTTTTAATCACACGATATTTTGGACCCTGTAATTTAAAATTTAATAATAAATAGTTTGATCTGAGAACAAGCGATTTCATTTAAAAGTACAAAATTAAATACCCACATTATTAAATAATATAAAATATAACTGGCCATTTATTCAGATAACCTTTCCTAATTAGTAATTAATTAAATTACACATAAATTAAGGTTTAATCATGATATTTTTTTAATTATAAAACGGTTTACTGACACTCTGCGAAGTTTAACTCGAAATTTAATTGTTAATCTCTTTAGATACCTACGTGGCTACTTATGATTAATAACTGGACGATTAAATTAGATACGTATAATAATTATGAAAATTGGATAAAATGCTATTTATATACACAATATAACATAACATATGGTATTTAAGTATATTATACTTATAATTATATTGAATCACGTGTATCAAATCTGCATACAATTGATAAGTAAGAATTTTAATTCTTTTCGTTTACTATTTTTCGAGTGTTCGTTTTCAAATTATACAATTTTAATATTGTAATTGCAACTGTTTTTTTTCTATATAATAGCAGTGTGTCACCTTTCATCTGTGCTTTAGTAACGTGCACTAAGTTTCTATCGGCAGGCTGAGTGGGTTGTGGATGTACTTGGACTTCCGTTGGTTTTTCGTTGCTTGTGATGGGTTTCGGAGTGGTGCCGTTCACTACATTATTACTGTGAAGTTTCGCTACAGCGGTTGGTTGTGTGCTTACGTTTTGTGGCGTTTGCTCGTCTATTTGCCGATTCTATATTATTATATTTTATAAGATAAAACAAACTACATTTGCATAGGTGACGTAAAAAACGACTAACTATAATGCTCATATAAAATATTATATTACTGGTAGTTATATATAAGACAGTTATTGTACCTTATCTACCTACATATATATTTATACGTGTAATTTACAGTGTGAAGGGTGACGAATAAAACATTTTGTAGCCAATATAAATAATCAATTAACACTATATAATAGATATGTTTAATATAGTAAATATGATATTTCAATTTATTACAAGAAATTCATAATTATTTTTATTGGACGTATAGGTTATACCTATATTATATAAGTTGAATTCATTGCATTTAAGAGTCAATGGTTACTATTTACTAAGTAGGTAAAACAAAATGGATACTACTATGTTTCTGGCATATTATCCTCTTTAATCTTTACAAGTACCTACCTAGGATTCTAGGCCATAAAGTCTAGATATATCTAAAAACATTTTTGAAATTGATCTTTTCATTTTACATTGAACACTGAACACTATACATTTGTACTTTTATGAACATAATAAACAGTACATTCTGCGTTTATCGATAAATTGTAAGATCTTAAATTGTTCAACTCGTAACTTTATACATCGGGAAAAAAAAATAGTCATGAAATTTATTATATCAAGCACCAACTATATATCATTCTCGTTCATTCTCGTATATTAATCATAATTATGAAAATAGAAAAACCAAGCTGTACCTACGTACTTGAACATCTACTCTCTCTCGTGCTCACATATTATTATTTAAAATAACTCTAATTGCTTACATAGCAATAATATAATATTATATAGTTCAAGTTTTTTAAACGGCTGTTATCACTTGGACGAGTAAGTGTGTATAACGTTATTAAAAACTGAGAAACGATTGTACATAAGTACCAAATAATAGGTCCCCAAAACACCATATAATATAATATAATTAGTAAAGAATACGACCACGAGAAATATACGAGAATTAATGCGCTGGAAAGAAAAGGGTCAATTTAAGACCGTCTACCACTTTATTTATTTCATACAACTATAATATAAGTCATGCATTTCTCATGAGATATAACATATTAAACATTTGTAGTGCAGAGGATCAGTTTATTATACAATTTTTTTAAGATTTGAACCTACAATTTAATTGGGATAGAGTTACCTATACAGTAAGTTCCCGTTACAACGAATACCGATACAACGAAAAATCCCGTTATAACGAAAGTCCTAGAAGTCCCCTACAGAAAAGCTATTAAGCTTTTCTAATGACCTTACAACGAAATTTCCGTTATAACGAAAAAAAAATGTGGTCCCTTGGAGTTCGTTGTAACGAGAACTTACTGTATATGAATTTAGTTTTGTGTAATAAATAATAATTTTTTTTTTTTATATATAACTAAATCTTTTTTACTTTTCAATAATATTAACTGTAGAATGTTCCTTAGGTCATAACTGACAAGTCACAATACAATATAATAATAGCAGTATATAAAAAGTTGAAAGTTAATATATTAAAGTTTACTGTATTGCACTTTTCCATATAACTACATAGCTAATTAAAAATTGTTTTATATCTATGTGAAACGATGAATGTCGTTTATTTGTCGTGAATATCTTAAAATATTTATTTGTAGGTTTCCGTTTGTTTTAACTCGGGGCCGATTATTATTTAAATTTTAAACTCTTAAAATAAAACACTTTATTGGTGTCCTTAACAGTTTAATATTGTACAATTTTAACATTTTAAAAATCAGTTTATTGTATAGGTAATTTGTATGATATAATACGTGGTGTGTATATATAAACGTACCTTAACAATTCTATTTTAAATTGGTTTTTGATACAATAGCAAAAATAAAATTTAATTCATTATATAGGTACCTACTCGTATTATTCTCAAATGTAGATAAATCAATTCAGAATTTCATTAAATAGTTTTCCTTATCTATATATAGCTATTAAATCTTTTAAAGGATATTCAATCCTTAAGTGCCTATCTTAATTCAACATAATTCACATTTCACACACATTTCATTGAATTCCTAATTCATACTGTCTTATACATCATCACAATATAGGTACGTTTAATGTGAAATAAAAATGATTAGGTATTTAAAATTATATTTTTCTGTCAAATTCAATAAAACGTAGTATATTAAATTTTAAACTATATACCTATGTAACTGAATAGTAAAAATTAAATAATTTAAAACTATTATTAAAGAAATTAAATATACATTTTTCTAATACCAAAAATATTTCAAAAGCGTTTTCATTTTCTTAAGTAAATTTGAATTGTTTTTTAAAACATAGTTTTGCTGTGAAAAGGGTAATGAACTTTTATTTACCAATTTATCATTTTTAATTAATTTGACGATTGTCATAACAAACGAAAGTTTATGATGGTTTCAAACCAAATCGTCCTAGACCCAATTAAAAATAACCTTAGGATAGAATCCAAACACTATTAATTGTTTAAACATATATTATCGTGCCAAATAAGAAAACATATAGACATAAATGCTAATTTATATTTCCTCATTACATTATTTTGTAATGGCTAATCTTATTCAATATTTTTAATTATTATGCACTTAAATATTAAAGTTTAAATTTAATCATTTTTTATGAATAAAATATTTCAATACAACAACGACTCAAAGTTTATGTTTTTTTATAAATACATTTTATTAAAATTGTGTAATGAATAATATTTTGAAAAATACGTTTATAAGTGTAGACACTTAAAGATGTTTAACACGATATAAACTAACTAAAGTCTTTTTTACTGTACATTTGTTGTGAATTTTAAACTGTAATAAAACTTGATCGGTTAATTAATGCATATATATAGTTAGAGTCTATATTGTATTAAAATATAAGATGTATATATACCTATATATTATAATACATAATATTATCATTTAAAAGTAGGTACTCACGACAAAATTCCTTATTTGGTTCACCAGCGGTGAAGGCGAAAAGTATTTTTCGAATACCGATGATATTTTACCGTCCATGATAGATATTATACAATATTAATTGTGGTACAGTTTAACGGAAAGTTCACTCGAAGGAGTTAAACAAAATACCTACTGTTAATATATTATGTATAGATTCAAAACGTGAGAACTGCGTAAACGACCAATTATCTGTTTCTATTTTCAAATATTATAATAATATAATATTGTAATAATTATTTACATTGAAATAATATCTATTCTCTCTGTGCGATTCTCAACACCAAATATCGTGTCGTCAAATTAAAACGATATACGTTTTATTGTACAATATTATAATAATAACGATTGAGATAATATAACATTAAACGATAAGAATACAATATATTATACGATGTACGATATTATTATAACGTGTATATTTGTGTCCTCGGTGAAGGGTGTCGTCCTACAGATAAGTATATCGCGATGGAGTGTGATGTGCAGTGTTCACGTACTCTGATGGTCTTTCGCCGGGTCTCGGAGATGCTGCATGACGACGACTGCACGAGCGTTCGTAATCACAGCGGGCGAAATAACGCTCACGCGGCGGCGGCGGCGTCGACACGCACACCGAGTTTATCCGAAACCCGGGGGGGTTTTTTAAACGAAAAATCGCATGCGCCCTTATTTCTTTCTCCCTCTCGCCTCCATATCTCCTCTCTCTCTCTCTCTCTCTCACTCCTCCTCTTTCTCTCCTCTCTCTCACTCTCTCGACTTTCTCACTCCCTATCTTTCTCTCCTCTCTCACTCCCTATCTTTCTCTACTCTCTCACTCACTATCTTTCTCTCCTCTCTCACTCCCCATCTTTCTCTTCTCTCTCCGTCTCTTCCTCTCTCATTTCCTCTCTCTTTCTCTAGGGTAAGAAGCGTATTTCCATCATCCGCGTCCACCCGACCGGTTTCCGCCCTCCGATATATCGAATTTTCAGCAGCGGTGTCGGCGGCGACAAATCTTTGCGCCACCGCCGCACCACGCCTTGCCGCCGCTTTTCCCTCGTTCGGTATATATAATATAGTAAATAGGTATTGTAAGTCCACGTATATTGTATATTAGGTATGTATATACGAACCTTATCGTAGGTGACTTAATTCTATTTCTTCTTTTTTCTCTCTATTCCCGTATTACTGTCCGCATCGCCCTCTATTATCCGACGATATTACACGCGTAGTATTGTTGTACTATATATATATTATCATCGCTTTCAGCTTATATAGTCACCTGCAGGATGCGATGTCGGCGAGTGGTGGGTTTTTTATTTTTCACTTTTTTCTTTCAGTATTTTTTTATTTCACGCTCGCACGGTCGAAAATCGATTACCCAAACAGACGACACTAATATAATATATATAATATATATACACACACACATGACACACATATAAATATATAATGCGTTACGAACTGTCGTGTATATACATACAATCTCACACAATGAACCGTGAGTGTATATAAACAGTATACATAGTACCTTTTTTTATTTAATATTTCTTCCTCCTGACGACATATATTGCACATATTATTATAGCTCGCTAACAGCGAGCTGTTGTCGATGTTTTTACGTACGCAGCTGGTGTATAATCTACAGTTTTTATTATGTTTTCCGAGGGATTTCCCGAGCAGTAACCTAAATAATATTATCTCGGCACGTGACGAAAATTACGGACCTATATATTATTATTATATTATAGAGTTGACGCTGTTCTTTTCCATTATTATAAATATTGCTCCTTATATAATACACAGCATCGGGTAAACGATTATTGACTATAGTTACATAAATTAATAATATTATATTAGTTAGGCATTTTTTACTTATTGTGTCTAAAAATTTAATGAAGATGACTATAAATTATGTGATGCCCTTACACCCCTCAAATAATTTACCAATAATAAATATATACGTCATGTAAAGACAATATAGCAGTCCTTTAAGTTTCGTAGGATTGTAAAATATATCAGGTTAGTACAATTTATATTAAATAGTATACAGTAAAAATATTTTAAGATGACGCCATTACAAACACCAGTGGTGGATTTTTTTTGGGGGTAGGGGGCGTGGTGATTTTTTTTCTATTCTGACATCTAACTTAGTGGTATAGATATGTATATTTTTTTAATAATATTATTGACTAAGATTCAATAAGATATGTTTTTATAATTTTATAATAATTAAGAGCTATTATTTTTGTTTAATATCTGTTTTGCATTTATTATAAAACAGAATTTTTACCCCCAAGACTTTTTTCCCGGGACTTTTTTCCTACCATCAAATCTTTTATCACTTCATTTTTATAAAATTAATTAAATATTTTGTTGACTGTGACTGTGGTTAATAACTCAATTTTAATATTGAGTGCTGAATATTTTATTTTCATTGTTCATTGACAGATTTGCGGCGGGTAAAAAAAGAACCATATAATTGTAGCTCAAATAAATTATTAATATATTTGTTTATTTAATATTGAATAGAAGACTGTTGAATTTTTATGCTGTTTATTTTTTTTATATATATAACAGATTGTTTATTGGCTCATATGTATATATTGAAATTCTATGACACCAATTCGCCACCTCCTTAAATGAGCTTCAGATCCGCTACTGAGTCAAACACATGTTGTCACCGTCAAACACAAGCGTTATGCGTAATATATCAAATTTATACATAAGATCTTTACTACAGTTCATTTTTGGTTACCTAATATTACAGCGGATTTACATAGGTATCGAATTTTTAAAGCAGATATTATTATAAACTGTGCCCGAGCGAAGAGTTTTTTTTTTACATAGGTTCCTATTTATTTTAAAAAGAGCTGCATAATTGAAAAAAAAATATTAATTAAAAATAAATTATTTGAAGTGGTAGGTACTTACTTATAATTAGTTGTAAAAGAAAAATATGAAAAAAACTCATCACTTGAACACTGAAGTTTATTTATATTCTCCTCTAAAAATTCGATAATGTGAATATTTTCTCTAATTATTAACTATATATAAACTGTAGTAAGAATCCGGTTCTAAGATTTGCCATGATCTGCGACTGCGGTCGAAGCGCTCTCTTAATTACTAACTAATTAGTAATTACATAAAACGCACACAGAAAAAGAATATTCAAGTATGTTTTTTTCAAATAAAACTGTGTTTTAGTATTCAATTAACTAAACATTAAAGCATGGTGCACAAAACAATTTAATTTTACAAAGTAAAGTTTTGTATGTATTATATTGGTGAATTGTGTAATGCACGAACAACGCGTAATGTATGATAATGTATATCTTAATATACATATTATGTATATTAAGACCCATATTTCATTGAAAATGTTGTAATGTAACATCAACTTCATATTATAATTGCTAATTGTTCGTGTTTTTTAAATTTAATTAAATTTTCCATAATATAATATAATTAAATTGTTAAAACGAATTAAATTCTTATATTTTGAAATACCTATATCGGTTTTATTTATAAGTTATAATTACCGTTCGAAAACCTACCTAGAAGCACGATTGACATAAAAGATGATATTTTATTGTTACAATGTTATGAATATGTTCTGCTTTTAAATTATCGTTGTTATCGGCTATCATAGAAAAAATGTAAGACTTACCATTATTACTACATAAAACAGACAACAACACAGCATTACTTATATACTGTACACATAAAACTGATGACGAACCTGCAGGTATAATATAATATTAAATGTTTTGAATGATTGATAAAACTGAACAATATTGTGCGACATACATTTACGTTCGTAAGTACATAATATTATCATAACCGAAGCTTTATAAGTTATGAGTTTATGTTTGTCTTTTGACTTTTATACTCGTATGATTACAAATCACGATATCACGTATGTTTGCAGGTGGATGAAATTTATCTCTGAAAAACTATTTTTAATATTTATTCAAGTAGGTATACAATTTTGTCTATATTTTTTCGTATCTACATCTCTCCAATCAAGACAGTTGGTTAATTTTTATGTGAATCTGATACAATAAGCCCATAAAGCATTATAAGAGCTATCAGTACTTATGTACAGAACACATTTCAATAAATTAGTATTCTTCAAACTCGATATGTATTATCATTTAAGCCTTTCGATTACATATCATTATTTACAGAACGCTTTGGTATAGTCTTATGGTTTTATATAATAACTGTACATGTTCATCTATACCTACTTAATATTATAAAGATGAAATGATTTGGATGTTTATAACGAATAAACTCAAAAACTACTGGACCGATTTCAAAAGTTCCTTCACCATTAGAATACTGCAGCATGTAATACTACATATTTTCAATATAACTTATAATAAATTACAAAATTACAATTATTCAATTATCGATAATTGGTACATGTCCTATTCACATCTGTATAGGTACCTAATTATTAATATTATATCTATCTATTTAATGTTTTAAAGCTCTTAATTTTTACTTAGTTAAACTATTGTATTATTAAAAATACGAAAATAATTTCCGAAAAATATCATACTTTTATACGAACAAGGAATATCTAAAAAATTACCAATAATTTATTATGTTTTTCGTACAGCAGTTTAGTTCTTACATAACATTTACAAATTGGAATCGTTAAAAAGAATATCTCGATTCGATTCTAAAATAATATTATATTAATTATTGGTAGGTAATTTTTTATGTTACACCCTACATATATATAACAAGTAACAATATTTACAGTATTTTTTTTAATAAACCACCCTTATAAATGAGTTTTTATATTATATATTTATTTTTATTGTTCCACGAAACTGTTTATAAATGTCAGCTTACTGCTATGAAATATGAACATTTTTATCTTCTTGACAAGATAATAATATTTTTTAAATATTTAATATTATAAAAATGTTTGATCGTAATTTTTTAGGTAGGTATACCTATTTAGTTATTACCGGTATTTATAGTTATTGACTAAAAGTTTCGATAATTATTTTATAACAAAAAATAGTTTCTAGAGCTGTTAATTTTTTTTAACACTTCTGACCTCG